ATTTTTTTTAATCAAGTGAGCCCAATATTTTTGGGCATAACCAACTCCCAACCACCTTATAACACGTCTCTATGCACCAAGCTACTTTAAATGCTTGTATCTTGAGCTTGAGAACTCCTTTTCAAAAAGGTTAGAACCATTTGATTTCTTGTTCCAGTCTCTACAAAATGTGATACATTTATATTTCTCCAAAACTTCCATAACTACCCATGTCAAATCGCTACAACACCCCTCCTTTGTAAATATTACATCCCTACCCTAATAACCCTCACCATTCATTCCTTCCCCCACTTTCCCTATATATATATATAAATTAAATGTCTTTCCGAAACAAGCGAAGAGATTCCAATTCTGGTGGCCAACAGCTTCCAACGGGCAACTCCACAACCAAAATAGTGCGTACATGGCTACTTTGAAAGTAAATGAAGCAATCAAAGATAACCTACGAACATATTTCATAAATTTTGTTAATCACATGTAATGTATTATTTTAAATTACTTAGATTAATATTACAAAGGATTGAAAGAAGTCTAACTGTTACTCATGATTTAAGAAAAAAACATGATTTCATTCATCAAATCAAAATAAGTATAAGAGTTTAGAAAAGTAAAACTTGATAGAAGAAAATTATAATTTCTAAGAATTGCTAGCATATGGACTTTCCTTTTTTCCTTGATTACAATACTTGGAAACTCTCAAAGTCTCTCACAGTCTCATTTTCTTCACTCCCATACACATTCCCAAGGCCTTTACTCACTCTCTCACCGTGATAATATGCTAATAAGCTCAAGAGTTTGTGAAATCATTACATTCATCATTTTTAAAGACTTCAGATAGCCACATCACCACAACACTATCAAAACCATCATAAATTTATTTTAGACTCCTCGACATAGGAGGTTATCACTGAATTTCTAGCTTATCCTCCATTTATGTGAAATTCTCTTCTCTTCAGACACCTAAGTAATGGAATGGACACTTAGGTGCTTAATCTTGACGTATTCTTTCCAGAGATAGGTGCTAACTTTTTGTTCACTCTGCTTTTAGTGCAACACTGTGTCTACATCATTTGGGCACTTGCTTTTTAAAACTAGATAAGGAGGCTCTTAGGCTGAGTGAGGAGGTGCTTGGACTTGCGTGAAGGTTCTTGATTTGGTGAGGATGCTCTTGGCAAGGACTTAACATTCATTTGATTCATTATTGCTCCCCTTGCTAACTCTCAACCTATAATCCTACATATATGATTAAATCTATCTTAGAAAAGAAAATATATGAAAATATTACAACACATTTTTAACACATCAATTATCTGAGTAAGGGGTCCTTCAATCTTCATTATAGAGAGGAATAGTTCTTCACGGGTTTTATGTTCTTCAAAATGTTAAACTAAAATAGATTTTGGTGGTTTATGACTATGTTTCATATTGTAGGTGCATGTTTGCCCACTCTAAAATTTGCATGTTTGATTATTGGTTGGTTTAGGTGCCTTGCACTTATATGTGTTTTATTTAAAGTTAATTGGATTTTAGGAATTATTTCTTGAGATATGGTAATGATAGCAATGATTATTCCAATCTTAGATAATTTTATGATTAAATTGAATGAATGGAACATTACATGATTTTCTGTCTATCTAGACCCTCACTTATGATGAGATACTAGTGATTATCAGGTGTAATTTATTTGTTGTATTAATTTCCATGATGAGATTAAACTTATTTCAAATCTAGTAATCCTAAATCCCACTAAGTTATTCAAATTTTTAAATTTCAAAACATAATGCTCTCTGACATTCAAGTATTGTTATTTGATTATCTTTAAGAGTTTGTTGCATTTTAAGATGTTCCGAGTTATAGTAGGCTGATTTATGAACACGTGGTTATATTATAAAGATTAAAAAAGCTTGTATTTGTTGTAAGTGTTCTATATATGTGGGTTTGTTTTCTAATACTACTAATATTGGTATTTTAAGCTGACACCTCATTGTGTTCCACCATTAAATTATTTCCCATTTGATTTATACTATGTTGGTGTTCCACTTAATGGGTTTGTCAAGTCTACATCATTACAATCTCCCCTAAGAAATAATTTAATTTGAAATTCATGGTATGGTGTAGTTGCAACATTTGTTCGCAAACCTTGGTAAGCATATGAGTTACTTGACAGATAATGTAGGGTAGGAATTCTTCATTATTATGTAAATTAGATGTTTCTGACCTACTTAAAATGAAGTTTGTTGAACTTGATTACATTTTTAAGGATGCTAAAATTTCTTCATAGAAGAATCCAACTCAACTTCAATATTTCTCTTTGCATATACACTGCTGAAGTTTCTCCATACATAGAATTGATGATGCAAAATTGAGGAAGAATATTTTTTGGGAGTGAAGAACTGTATATTAATATATTTAGTATACATTTTATTGAGTGTTATATTATACTTAAAAAGATAGTCTCTTTGCCTAAAATTGTCCACACCTGTCAGTTTCTTTTTTGACATGGGATTTTGAATAACGTGTAGATTTAAAGATTATTATTTAAATAATCAAGATCATCATCGAAAGTAATATTCTATCTCAAGAGATAGAAATACCTCTTTACAATGGATTCAGTTACTTAAATTAAGAAGTATGTGATATTTACAATGGTCTATGATTAAGGGCCCGTTTAGGGCAGCTTATTTTGCTGCAGCGGTGTTTTGAAAATGCTGCCGCAACGTTTGTTTCAGCGTTTAGGGTTGCATTTTCAAATCGCCCGTAATTGTGGATGCTATATTATTCGTTCCATCGAACGCAGGGGAGGTGTTCCGTTTGGCGTTGGCTAGGGCTTATTTTCCTTCTGTGCCCCTGTGGATGTCTCGTGGCTAGGGCTTATTTTCCTTCTGTGCCCCTGTGGATCTCTCATGCTCTTCCCCGCGATCTCCTTTACCGATCTTCTCGTGCGTAAACTTCTGTTTGTACTTCTTCCCCACATCTCCTTTGATCTTCTCTGGTTCGTTTATGCGGCTCGAATGTTGTATTTGGTATTCCTGTGGTTTCTTTTTAGGCCTACAAGGCAACTACAAAGCTTCTGTTCTTATATATGCTCTAGAAATGTTCTCCATAGATCTTCTTTGGTTTTTATGCCCTCACGTTTTGCTTTTTTTGGGATTTTTAGCTCTTACATTTAGGGATTTTTAGATCTTTCTCTGGAAATGGATCACATATTACAGTGCTCTGGAAAGAGATCTTCTATATGCCGCACTCCTTTGGGATTTTTGTTTACAGTTGTTCTGAAAATTAGAGTTGTTCTGAAAATTGGTTCTCCCTGTTGTTCTATATGCCAAGTTTCGGTTCTATATGACTTGCAATACATTTCAGTTTGAGTTATTCTGAAAATTGGAAATAGGTAATTGAGCTTTACAGATCCAAAAATTGGAAATAGGAAATTGGGTAGTTTGATGTGGCTTGGTTCTCCTTGTTGTTTTGAAGCTTGGTTCTCCCCGTTTCATTGCAATTAGCTAGTTTGATGTGGCTAATTTTTTTGGAATTCTTGGTTGCTAGTTCCATCTAATCATGGCTTTGATATTTACAGTTAGGGAAATGGCTTTATTATTTGCATTTTAAAACAAAGCTATTAGAGGCTTTGATCATTTCTTGTCCGTGTGCTTCATTCCAAAAGTTGTGTATCATGTGCTTCATTCCTAGTAGATAATTTATTTATGAGATGTTATGTGAAGTTTGATCACAACAGTTTTGTAAAGCTATGATAATAGGATGCATATATAGCTCGTAATGTGTTTACAATTGGTGGCATTTATCTGTTCATTAATCTATTCATTCGTAAATTTCATGTTGGAGATGAATATATGGCTCGAAACTGTTTTTAATGCATTTCATATGGATAAATCTTTCTTTTGCCTTCTGCTGTTTGTGGGTTTCCACGGCATTTGAACGTATATTGTTATCTTTTGATGGAGTTTTAGTATAATATTGAAGTCTGTATCATTATTAGGTTAATAATTTGGTTAGAAACCTCTTGGACTTTGCTAATTATGCAGAAATTGCTTTAAAAGAATGTAGGCGCTTATTGCTACTCTCTCAATTGGTTTTCAATTGCTCTTAAATGTATTTTATTTGATATTTTCTTCAGTAAATCTTACTACTATAATAATTAGAGATTTTTTTAAGGTTGAGAATTGTATGGGACATGCTGCCTAGTTTAATGTTATTGACCTTATCTATATTGACAAGTTCTTGGAGACTTTTTTCAGTTCTTTTAAAGCTATGATAATAGGATGCATATATAGCTCGAAACTGTTTGCAGTTGGTGGCATTTATCTGTTCATTAAT